TCTAGGTGAAGCGTCTGACATCAGCAAGCCGAAGTAAATTTAACTTCTGACGTATATAACCCTGCTGGGAGACCGCGACCGATTCCTCTAAACGTCGGAATTGTTCTCGCGTTGCTATTATAATTGGCATTATTTTAATCGTGCCTTCAGCCCGCATCATCGGTAACTATGTAACTATGTAAATTATTTATCTTTAATGTACATTATAATTATGCAAACTCCTGATAATTAATGATTCACGTCAAAAGATCTGATAAAGAAAACCAATTTACCTCAGAATTAGTTGTTACTTTATCTAAATTTGCTTCGTAATTGATAGTCATTACTCGTATAATGCTATCTGAACACCTGTTTCAAAAACGAAGTAAACTTCTCTATTTGACTAACAAGTGTGGCAAAAGGAGTAAATCACCGATATTACCTGGTATAGTATAAAATCATTGAATTTATAAAAATGGGCAACATTTTAATTCTTCATGATTTTCACAACTTACGTGCTTGTGTGATACGTTATTTGGTGTTACTGATAATAAATAGAATAGAACATGCTTTACATCGCGGATTGATATAACCACAGAATTTAATCAATATATGAAAATATTAAATTAATACATAGGTAATTCATAAGAAAGAAATTAAGCTTTCTGCGAACGTTTGAAGTCTGAAAAGTGTTTTAGTAAAATAATGGAAACGATCTCGTACCCATATACATAAACGCATCGCTGATGGGATGACTCCCGTATGTAAATGACTCCACTCCAGCAATACCAAATTGTTTATCAAAATCATCCTGCTTTGTTATGACAGATGTGTAAAAAGTTGTCGTTGGGCGACCAAAATGTTCACAATAAACCTATGCATAATAGGCTTATCGGTGTGGCTTGAGATAATGCTATCACCTCCATTTTACCTGACCACCATTGAGAACAACTTAGTTCTCGAGATCTTGGACATTAAACGATCATCCAGCAATTAATAATTAACGTAACAACCTTTTTCTAATATAGGCATCATCCATAAACATTAGGACATAGGAACAGTTTATTCGAATTAATATTTTGGTATAGGAATAACAATTTTTTATTGTGATAACGGCACGGAAAACAGGGAAAAATGGATTCGAAAATACGAAAACGGCGTTAGGATTTTAGTTGTTGTTTTTTTCCCCTTAAAAGAACTATTTTTACCACTAAGTTCTGAATACAAAACACGCTCAAAACTCGCTTCAATCTCACTCATAACTTCTGTCCTGTGATTGGTCAAAGTAGTCTAAAATATTTAAATTCAACACGTCTGGCCAAGGTGAGGAGTGTAGGCCAAATTCTTCATTTGCCTCTGGTAAATTATAGGTCGTGCTTTTCTACTGGAGACTAAATGACCAGACGTCCTGCTAAAACGCCTAATTTGAAAGAGCCCTAAGTCTGTAGGCTGCGGGTTGTCCAAAACTAACTGAATTCTGTTCTTACCAGCCTATTTTGATTACAGGTAACAGTAGTGGGTCGACTGGCGGCGAGGGTGCCGCGCCGCCGCCGGCGGAGCCCGACCCGGCGCTGGACTCGATGCACCTGATGTTGGACCCGCACCTGCGGCCCATCTCGCCGGACCTCGCCAGCGAAGAGTCCAAGAGGATATACGAGGAGCACAAGCAGTTGGCCCCAGAGTATCTCAGGGTGAGTGCTTCATTTTGTTTTTGATAGTAGCGAGTGGCGGATTTACCCATTTGCCGCACGTTAAGCTATAGCAACCCCCTTTTCCTCCTGTGCTCTTCATTTTGACTGGTACCTATCCTACTTCAGTAAAGGTATTATAAGACACATTATTTGGTCCCAAGTTGGCCGCCTACAGGACTATTTCCACTCTCGTTCCCACCGCTGTAACTCCTGTAAAGCCAGGATCTACAGCTTGACCGCCAATAAAAACCCAACCAGTGAAGGTCAAGTTTATCCCAGGGCAAAGTTAAACTGTCATTTGACCCGCAACGAAATTAATCAGGAGAACATAGGAGGAGTTCGAAGTTAGCCGCCTCCTAAAATTTACCTCCTTAGTCTCCAGCCTGCTTCGGTCGTTTCAGCCAAATCACGGCCACTGCTGGACAAAGGTTTCCATAACCGGTCCCACGCTGCCCGCATCCAGCCTTCTTAGAGTAAATTGGCCAGTGACAGGTCATAGGAGCTAAGAACCGAGGCTCATGAACTTCGACCCATCGGAATAATTGCCCCCTGAAACTTCCGTAGGTCCAACCTGGCCGTTACTGGTTTGGTTGGTAATAGCCAATAGCGGTTAATCCGCGGGTGTCGTAAGAGGCGACTTAGGGACTACACATCAAACAGAGAATGGGCAGCAGCGCTCTCTGAAAAACATCAATCTTTTAAACTGCGATCTCCAACCCGCCTGCCAAGCTTGGAGATTATGGCAAAACCCTCCACTATAGTGGAGGAGGCTCATAGTCCAGCAGTGGACTGTAAAGGGCTGTTGATGATGATGATGAATAGCGGTTAAGCTGAAGATACTGGCTACAAAGAAGTATCAGAAGTAGGAACTAGAGAACTAGAGGTAGAAATAATGAAACGATTCTTATTGTGAAAGACAAGAAGTAATAACATCTGAATAAAGTAGCTATATTAACGTGTCATTTCATAGCCGAAAATTGACGAGACCGAAACACATTGCAAAATTACAAGTAAACGATGATGTAATTAAAATAACTGGAAAGAATGTGGCCGAGTAAATAAACAGGGCATTGTTTATGTTTGCAGGTTCAAACTGAGACTGCCTACCTCAGTAAACATAAGTCAGAATTAGAAGAACAAATGGACGACGAGGAGCTACGGCAAAAGAGAGAAATCATTCAGCTAGAGAATGAAAAGGTAAATATTTAAATATTGAAGAATTCGCTCTTAACTAAAATGTTTCATGATACAATCAAAGTCTGAAAACTTATTATGACAAATTCGTCTAAAGTATAATTATTTTCACTCTGATATGTTAGTTCCTTGGAAGATTTGATGTTTTTAGTCCCCAGACGGTCGATTATAATGGCCCAATCTTATCAGTCCCTCATTCTTGCGTATTGTGAATACCATATAACTTCCATGTGTCGCCGACAGATGACGCAGTGTACATAAATGTAATCGCGGTAGATAGTCTTTACCTAATATCGTCCCAAACGCCGTAACAACCTGTAAATTCTTAAACTTTCGGTTTATTTAAACATTCATGCATATTTTCTTTTTCAGGACTCGCTAATCAAACTGTACCACACGCTACGGAAGCAGCTAGCGCGAGCAGAAAACGATTGTTGGCTGCCGCCAGACATGCGCCACGAGTGACGTCACTGGCGCTACACACGAGATAACTTATGACGTAGGCTGCTACTCCGCAAAACGAATCGGATATATTTGACTCTTTCACTCACATGAGACAATGTGAAAAAAGACAGATGAACGTCATTTGCGGAGTAGAACCGTTGTTTGTAACGTGATGGTTGGTGACTAGCTTACCCTTTTGTTCGCCAGCACCAAACCAAAACTTTCGAAGAGATGAAGTTGTCTAGAAATACTTCGAGCGTAGAAGGACCAATTCAAAATGACGTCTGCCCTCGAACTGACTATGATCTGAAATCTCCTGGAGCTGATGGATGGAGAAAGCTTCCTCCAAACCTATTTAAAGGCATTTGGGTTTCGTGATTTGGCAATATGGACACAAAAATTAACCATGTAGATAATTTGCATCAGAGCCCAAAACTTGTCGGAATTAACTGTTAAAAATATCGATTAATTATGATCATTTATACATAGCGACATCAGATCATTGTCATGTAGTTTCCTCGTGTTTTACATCTGGAAAAGACGGTATAGTCATTAAATGCTTTAAAAGTCATTGATTGATTCGTTTGTATTATTTTAATGATAAGCATTGAACAATGTATTCTAATCTTTTTAGCCGTAAAACTTGCCAAAGCAAAGGGAAAACATTTTTTCTCTAATTTGGAATCATTAACTTTGGAAATCATAACGTTTATTGTCTGCATTCACATTTGCTTAGAGCTCAACCCAGAACTAAATGCAGGGTATAAAATTTATCGAAAATTAGATTTCATTTAAGATTTTCATAAATTGGCTAATTATTATACCACTTATGTAATTATCAACTAATGACTGAAATGTTGACAAATAAAAATCAATCTTATACATTTAAAACTTAATACTTTTGGCTGACATAATAATATTTTTATTATGTTGCGTTTTGACTTGATGTTCTATACAAGAAATTAAAATTTTAAATGCCCTGCTTTTTGAGCCCGCATATGAACGATCTTGTTGATTCAGTTTTATTATTTTTAAATACAACTAAGCACGTTTTAGTGCTTAGATGTTAGGTGTATTATTTGTGAATGTATCACTGTGCAATCACTAGCACATGTTTATAATCTAATCCTATTATTTTGTGTGTATGCATTTGTTTTGATTGTATAAATGTAAGATAGTAAAATAGATCTATTAGTTTTAAGATTACAATGTTAAGTTTAATAAATAATAATTTAAAAAGCCAAGTTGGTTCTTTTATTCTAAATCTATCTACCTTTACCTACCAGAACCTTGAAATAGGATAGGAAATAGTGAATAATAATGTGTCGTACTCTTTATGTGCATTGCCAATGGTCCTACTACTCCTGTATTCCCGTTGTCCCCATGATATTATTAATTGGCCCTATCACGGAGACAACGGAACATCACGAGAATTCTTTACCGTTGTCCACATTATCAAGGGAATACAGGCTCAGTCCTAGCTACCTGTGTGCTTACCATGAGTTTACGTTAGGTGAGCTCGCTAACGAGTGCGTATTAAAAATATATGAAGAATTTAGTTCTTGAAAGTAGCCGCTAGGGGCGCCGTACAATATGTCATACATTTAAAGTCTATTTACGCAGTCCCTAGTGAGCACACCTAACGTAAACTCATGGTAAGTACACAGAACAGTTCTAAAATAAAACACAACATTAAAATTCAGTCCAAACAATTTAATTTTCAAGTCGACAATAGTATTGGAATGTGTGCCATCATAAAAAAAAGGAAAAATTTGGCACTCGGTATGTCCATGTCAATGCATCTGAGATTCCAGTTCAAAATAAATGCTATTTTCAGACATTGAACACCAGGCATGTTTACCATTGGACGAATATCACGTAATTTATTTACAATAATTACATTCTTGAATACATAACTTATTGTTACTGTAGTCGAACATAACGACAGACCACAATAAAAATTAGAGTTACTAGTGACGAGTTGAACCTTTTAAAACAAAAAATATAATTTTAATAGCTCATCACACTATACTGTAAATACAATGTTAGATATTTATAAATCTATCTTTTGTGATGTTATTCTATGATAAATAATCAATATACCTGAGAATTTTCTACTACTAAAAACAATTTTACATATTTTACAATTTTAATGTTGATATGATTGATCTCTTTTTAAAATTCAAATAAAATTAAATATTACATAAATAATACCAAATTAAAATCACTAACTTTTAAATCATAATTCGGCAGCGAGAGGACTTAACTCGGCCCCAGTTGAGTCTCCTTCGGACGCTTTACTTTTAAATAAAATAAATTTAAAAGAAAGTAAAAGATAATAACAACCAAAAGTTTAACCGTAAAAATCCAATCTTAATATAGATTTTTCGTTGTATATGGGCCGTACTATTTCATTATATTATATTAGTTAATATCTATTTTAAAAGGAATGACATCAGAAACTACTCTAAGCTATTTGTGAAAATGAAGGCAATTCCGTCGAGCCTTTAACTGTTATAGACCATTAAAATACGCTAAAATATATTTTTTTATTCTTATCCATATAACACGATCAAATTTGAAATCTCATAAAATTAATTAAGGCAACAGTTTTAACGAACAGGCCAAGTTTATTGTTAGATCCACAAAACATTGATTAGATAGTTAAGAATTGGACGCGAATTCATTGCCGTTGGCTTTGCAGATTTAACAATAAAGATGTTTAAACATGAAACAGTTTCCTTAGCTAAACGATTAATCTCACACTCAAAAATCCTACAATATGTATGCAGTCACTCCGTGCAATGTGATATCTCAAACGACTTAAACACGGTACGAAACAACCTCAATAATTTAACAGCGTTATAACTAAACGCTTCGAATTACATTTATATTATGACAGACTCTTCCACACATCGATGGCATTACATACATAGAAATAAATACTAATGAAACGACATCAAAAAGTCTTATCTATTACAGTTTATTGGCTAATCTCAATATTTAGGATGTCTTTCACGACGTGCTTACATCTAAAAGACACTAATAAACACAGACACTGGAAGTGAGTGGAAGATCGCGTATGGAAAATGGAAACAGAGAAATCCGCACATGAATCGTCGTGAAAGAAACCCCGCATTTTATAACATCGTGGCAATCAAAGGCAGTCTAGCAAATGGATATGGCACTCTCGGTGCCGCTAGCCATACTATCCGATGAATGAATGTATGAAAATAACTGTAGGTTCGTATGTAAGCCTAGTGGCAAAGTTTAGCACCGCGAACGTCACACAAATGCAAGGAGAACAACAATGTCCCACTCTAAATACGTCTCATGTTTGATTCCGACATTTCATTAATTCATAAAAGGCAAGTGATTGGTGTGTTCCAGTAAAATGTTGAAATCAAACACCGTCATTTCAAAACTTAACAATTAACTTGAGTATCCATAAAAATATAAAAGTATCTCCATTTTCAATACGGTAAACTGACGTGACATAAAAAATAATCAAATCATCAAATTGATTAGAAAGAGTATTGAAAATACATTGTTAAGACAATTAAATGCAACACAAAACAATCTCTATATCAAAACTGATATGCCGCTGACTGAATCTATCAACAAATTATAAAAATCTCGCCTACTTTCACGCGCCTAAAATACAATAGCAATAAACTCACTCTACTCAACGCAATACTAAGTTTGAGCAACGTTTATAGGGAATACAACTTAGAGCATAATATTTTATGTATTGTCAACAATTCACAGGACCACATGTGTCATACATTTAGTCTAATAGATATAAAAAATTTAAGATATACATAGGATAGGAATAAATCTGATATCTAACGTGAGGGGAGGAAGACTGGCATGGTCTATCGTTGTCAATCCTGAAACGAAAATAACTCGGTATAAATAATAATGTGAGGGTGTACGAACGAAATCAACAGGAATACACCAAACATTATTCAGAAAAAAATTTGTAAACTAGCCGTGAAAAAACCTAAATTTCTGTCACTGACTTGAATTTCAAATTGCGCATGAGAGAGCGCGGAGAATCGCAAGGAATGGCAAAAATATATCTATGAGACATTATAACGTCAGCTGTCAAGTCGAATGATATAATTTGTGAATCGAGATTTTTAGGGCATACGCGGCGGGTCCTTCGTCCCGCGTTTAACGTCCGGAGCAGACACCGGTTCCATGCATCCGCGCAAGTTTTAGCGGAAAGCAGCAGTGTGTTATGTATTATTGTACTGAATAAGTGGGTTTCAGTCCATCACCTTCGTCGCAATAACAAGAGCGGTCTAATGACTCATTTGCGTGAGACATGGCGGGTGTTACCTTGCGGTGCGGCCGCCACTAAAGCCCGGTCCGTGAGCACGTAGAATTTTGTCCAGTGACCCCTAGCTACCCATCCTTACCGCTCGCGCGTAATTATGTTGCTATCGCGCTCGCACACTCACTGCGGGTGCCAGTCGCACAGTCGCGACAGCAATATAATTACGCGCGAGCGATAAGGATGGGTAGCTAGGGGTCATTGGACAAAATTCTACGTGCTCACGGACCAGACTATAGTGGCCTGCTACATGTGCGGTGACGCCAGCGTTGCCAGTTTTTTTTTCGCCAAGTCGGGACTTTGGTACTTTTTGAGTGAAAATAGCGGGATTCTTCCGTCAAAAGCGGGACATAGTAAAAAAAACGTATATAATCAAAGGTTTTCAAATATGTATCTTTTTATTGACTTAAAATTACGTTTACGTGACAATAGATAGCAAAAGTAGCCATAGAAAATGTATTTTAACAAAAAAATTATATTTTAAATCAGATTTACTCTATAGTTAAATTCGTCTTTAGAATAAAGAATTAAAAAAGTTTTATTCTTTATAATAATTTGGCGTTTCAAACAATAGTCTGGTGAAGTGAGTGTCTCTCTCCGAAAAGCGCGACAGAGCCTGTCCCGCGCGGGACATTTAAATTTGATTTAAAAATCGGGACGTCCCGCCAAAATCGGGACGTCTGGCAACGCTGGGTGACGCCGGAGCGTGTTACCTTGCGGTGCGGCCGCCACTAGCTGGCGTGGCGCGCCTGCCACTTGAAGTCGACCTGCATGAGCCACTGCTGGCCGCGCGAGCGGTCGCAGGGCCGCAGCACCGGCTTCCACACATCAGCGGCCTCCGGCTTGTCCAGGCACATGCCGGTGTTCGTGTGTTTTATCACACGCGTCTGAAAACGATAGGTTAGGTCCGTTACGAAGTCGCTATTCTTCTTCTTCTTTTCAGCCAAATGACGTCCACTGCTGGACAAAGGCCTCCCCCAAGGTTTTCCACAATGAACGGTCCTGCGCTGCCCGCATCCAGGCTCTTCCCGCGACCTTTACCAGATCGTCGGTCCACCTAGTTGGGCAGGCCGCCCACGCTACGTCTTCCAGCCCGTGGTCGCCACTCGAGAACTTTCCTGAAGTCGCTATTAAACTAAATCAATAAAATTAAAACATAGCTAAGATTTATAGAAATGTTTAGGGCGTATGCTAACGAGCTGGTTTCTATCCGGTTCGGAGCAGGCCGGCTCGTCGCTGGATCGGGTGGCAATCGCCTCCTCGGCGCGCGCTCTTTCGGTACCGGCCCTGGACCGGATAGGAACCGGCTCGTCAACACACGTCCTTACTTATCAATAGCCAACGTGCAACTATACTGAATAGTGTCACACAAAACACATTTTCCTCCCCCCTCTTTTTTCTCTTTCTCTGCTTTTTACAACAATGATTTGCAATGAGTGATGTCACCATACATAAGAATTTATACCTCAGATGAAGTAATTTGCATGCGCGAGCCTCTATGCTGTAAATATCGCAGTGTAATCTTTACCCTCCTAGTAAGCTAGTACAGTCCTCTCAACTTAAGCTGAGAATTGCATTTGTGTGAGTGCACACCGATAGTTTAGAGTGGCAATCGGCTTGAAGCGCGGTGCGTCCCGCGCATGGTTTATTATAGCAAGCGGCCTGAAGCGCGGCGCGTCCGCCACGCACCGCTTCCTTGTCGCTCACATACTTCACTTCACCCCCGGTACTGGTAGCAGATACGTGTAATTTTATGTAATTGTGTTCCAAATATTAGTGAAATGGCTCCTACTGTAAGTGAATTTCCTGTACGAAATCCATTAAGCAGCCAAGTGAAAGAAATTTTATGCAAATTGAATACGTATTTTAAAGGTATGAACGAAAAGTTTTTAGTCTGTTTTTATTTTGTAATTTTATAAAGTTTGTCTTTTTGTTGTATTTTGTAAGGCTGGCTGGACGCCCTCTCTATAAACGGTGCTCGCAGAATATCAGCGTCGAGGTACTTCGTGCCATGGCATATGCTGAGCGAGGACCTGTTTTTATTTGTTTATTTATTTAAAAGGATGTGTCAAGTGTCGTTACATCGGCCCAATTGGTAGCAAGTGTTTTATAGACTTCCTTTTAATAAAACATTAATTTTATTTGTATGTGTTTTACTAACGGTACTTTTGGCGATCACTCACACAAATGCAATTCTCAGCTTAAGTTGATAGGACTGTAAAGCTCCCTTACCTTGGAGTCGTAGGTCCACTCCTGGTTGCCGCGCATGCCGTGGCAGCGGATGAGCTTGATGGGCCCGCGCGGGTGCGCCGCGTCCAGACAGTTGTCGTCCGACATGATCTGCTTGCGTTTCGTGTACGCAAACACCTGCGAAAGAATGGGCAATAAAGCATGTTATTCATGGTCCCGTTGCAGTGGGCATTGTGTGGCACTGCTCAGTTTACTCTTGTTTTTATTTATTTTTTCTTCCATTATTATGTGCCACTGTCATGTCATGTATTTGTGTGATGTTCATTGTAATAAATGTATCTTTCTTTTCTTTCTTTCTTATTTACACTTCAAGTTTCAACCAAGGACCTGATAAAGGTAGCAGGGAGGCGCGGGATGCAGGCCGATACCAAACGTGCGATGTAAGTCTTTGGGGGAGGCCTATGTTCAGCAGTGGACGTCCTGTGGCTAAAATAATGATGACACTCTTGAGTTTGAGATTTCGTTGCGGGTTAATGATAGTTTAAATCCCTACACCTGGCTTTTACTGGTTAAATCTCATTGGCGCTCAAACTGTAGATCCCATAGCAAACAAGTGGAGATGCCTGAACCGTGCCTATCACCCGTATTCACAAACGATGCTTGCTTAAATGAAGCAGCAAATCGAACGCACAGCGTTGAATAGAGCTCTGTGATTGGTTCGTGTGTCACCCTGTGCGTCCACGCGCACTGTGAGACCTCATAGTAATGTTTGTGAATACGGGCCTAAGCCTGTGTGCTCAGTCTCCACTTGAGTGGCTCGGCCAAATGAGCCGCTCATTCGCCTGAGCATGTTCAAGTGGCTACAAGCTCTATAACCCGCCGCAATCACAGGAGTAATGTGAGAATACATAGTAATGATGTTACCTGGTTGCCCCCCATTCCGTGGCAGTATCCCATACCCAAGGGCTGGCCTGCTTTGCCGCCGAGGGTGTCCAAACAGTTGGATGTATCCGCATTACGTATCTAGAAACACAAACGAAAACATATCAGTATGTGCAAGTCCATCTTATAATGTAATGCTATTTCCTAATTAAAGAACATAGATAAATAGAGACTGCGAGATTTTTAGCTTGTTAGAGAACTATCGATTTAACTCTCACGTAATGTCAAGCGAAATGGAATAGTTTTCGAAAAAAAATCCAGAAAGAAAAACACGTATAACTACTGAATGGTTTGTGCTAGTCACATATTTTGTTTTACTAACGGGAGCGCGAAGTGAGTTTACGTCAAAAGCATTAGATATCAACTGCATTACAAAAAAAAGAAGATTTTAGTTCTTGAAAGTTTCCTCTAGGGGCGCTGTACAATCCGTCATACATTTATTGTCACTTTTTACGCAATCGATATCGAATGCGTTTGACGTAAACTCACACTACGCCCCCTGACCAACATAGCTTAGCTCGTGGTCTACAACTACTTTTCCCACTTACCTCTCCCAAATAATAGTAATCCAATGGCATCTGGCTCTCCGGGTAGATGTTCTCCAGGTACCATCGGAAGCTCTTGCACTTGAGCCGCTCGCGTAATGCTCGCCGCTCGCTCACGTCGCCAACCGGCACGTTTAGGGCGCCTGCGCATACGTACGGTACACTCACGGTTCAAGGGTAGTTGGATAGTGGACTTGAAATTTATAGGGACTTCTTGAGAAACACATACATTATAGCTCTTTATGTTGATTTATATTGTCTATTGTTATATCTTTGATACCAAATAAATACCTTTTCTTTCTTTCTTTCTCTGAAAACCTATCTAGTACTCAATTACCCAGCGTCAAGTTAGCGGCAAATACCCAGTTGCCTTATAGGTATAAGACACCCCTCATACAAATTGCAAGTTGCAAGCCGAGCAAACTATCGGCTGACTAATGCCCGTTTTCACCATCAATCCCTAATTTTTAAGTGACCCCTATGAAAACAAAGTCCTGATAATTGTTACCATAAGGGCCAATTAGGGATTGATGGTGAAAACGGACAAAAAAGTCTGTACTCTGCGGGATGGCTTAAAGTACAGAATCGATCATCTCAAGTGTGAAATAAAGGCAGACTTATGGTCATCTAATATTCACATTCTACGTTACGTGTGCGGAGCGTATTCATATGCCATACTTTGTAATAGTATGTGGCTTCTTCGCACTTTCATCCTTCAAATATACAAGTAAATTACAAGCTCTGCACGATCAGTGATGTGAATATACCTTTATCTATACTTAATAATTTATTCATATTATTATAATATCATTGTTATTGAAACAGTCGAAGCCAATATCACTATTATTCCAAGAATAATTTCATTGTAAAAACAAAATGCATCACATTTTATGACTAGTGTTAAATTCGTAGAAATACTGTGTTAATATTTGTATTAAATATGAACAACAAACCTGTATTGACAAAAGCATGTATATATGGGCCCAATGTAAATGATTGCGAGTGATTATGTATCTACCGGGGTGTTATTACAGCTGAATATATTTGTATCGGTAGTGTTAATATAATGTCCGTGCAGTATTATTATAATAGGCAGTTGCTTACGTCTTTTTCGCCAAACAATTACTACGTAGACTATTGGGTTAGTCAGACATAAACAAGTGTCATAGAGTAACCACCTGTAACATACGGCTTGCCCTTTCTGGGCTAGACAAAACATGCACGTGCTTCCCTCGCTGTATGTATAATTAATTTACTTTTACACTGTTATTCAGTGAAAACGTGGTAAGCACGTGAATGTTTAACATAATAAAGCTATGTAAGTAAATCAACATGAAAAACACAAGTTGTAAATGGATTGCAATAATAAAATAGTTAAGAGGCGTCATCTCTAACAGCTGTGGCAAGTCGTAGGCTTCAGAAGGGTATATTAAAAACTTACCGGCCTGAAGTAATACATTTCAATAAGTATATTTTTTTTACAAATACACAACAAACAAGGATTTTTCAAATTTAATTTAAAACACGTTAACATTACTTCGAAATAAAAATTTCAAGTCAATTCCATGCACATTATAAGAAACGATAAAACGGTGTGCCAGAAGAAATATCACCATGCCAAAAATTCAAATTCGTGCAAGCAAATATAAGAAAAAAATAATCAACAAATAAAACATAATAAATACCGTAATGAATAATTCTATCTTTTATAAACCGATCATACCAGTTCTCTTTTATTAATCACTTTCCAATAAGTAAATATAAGTAAATGTACGTAATAAATTATGTTGAATGCTAGTAATTCATTGCCCATACATATCTATGCGGACTGCTGAGACTGCTCTTTTTTACAGAAAAGTAATGAAATGTTATTCAATGTGTGAAATTCAGGCCAGTAAGTTTAGGTAATAATAAATAATAAGCATTAAAACTACCAATGTTAATTCCTACAGCACAGCCAATTCACTCCATTTGTTGTCGATCCCAACTTTGAATGAAATAAAGTTCTTGAAATAAAGCATGTTACAGAATTATTTTTACGTGTAAATTATTTAACAGTAAATTTGTATTCTGTTGTTGTACCTATAAATAAATAAATAAATAAACAGTAAAGTCTGAACCGTCACTACATTACTGCCAGTTACGACTGTTATTTCAGAATAGATTTCTGAGACAACAAGTGTCTTTCTGAAATAAACCTAAGACACCCCATACGAATGGTAGGTAATGGGAAAAAAGACAAATTTTGTGACCTTTCATGACAAGAAAACGATGTCCCAAATAATACATCTTATATCAATCAGCGTTTACAACCTCAAAGTGAATTGGCCGTTACGACATGGACCTGGGTTAATATTGTAGTAGAAATGCTTCCACTCGTCCAGCCAGACCTCGGCGAGGCGCGCGTTGTTGTGGTTGACCACGCGCCCGGTGCCCCCCGGGAACGAATACGGCGTGGTCTTGCGGAACACGTGGCCCACGTGCGAGCACGGCGCGATCTCCAGTGTGCCCCCACACATCCACACCTGATCCCTCCCAGGCGGTTAGTGACGTACCCACCGGTTCGTATTTCAAACTTTGTTCTTTTTTATGATTCTTTTGTTTTGGAACTCGAACTGACGTTTATTTTTTTCTTATATGCCATGCATTGCTTGTATAGATGACCCACGCTGAACTGTCCCACCAAACTCAATGACAGGGGGGCGCTACCACCGTTCAACTTTATGGTTTCCAACATGGCAAAAATCGGAACCAGCGATTCGGTATTGACGGTGGCGCCCCGCTGTCAATGTCATCGATAGGACAGTTCAGTATTTTGGAACTATAGCATGCTTTTTATATTTTGTGGAAATGAATCTTTTTTTTAATTCTTTCAATTTTATTATAAATTGATTTTTTTAAATTATTTTATAGAGTCCTTTTTAGAGCTTGCAATGGGATACAATAATCTATGTGTATTTTATTTCCCAATTTAGTATCCGTCAGTGACTCAAATGGTACAATAGCTAAATGAACCGGTGAATATTAGTTAACAACAATAATTAAACTGTTAAATAATATATTTTACAGTTTGATTATTGTTCAATGAGTGGGTTAAAAAGCACAAAATTTTAGTTGCAGTTAATGGATGAGACACAATACATTTCAAATACGATTATTTGATAAGAAAATAAGTATCAATACATCATGTTATTTATATTTCCCGTTAAACATGTTAATAATAAAGTTAAGGACATATTCTGAACAAACATTTCATTTATATTAATTCTATTAAGCCATGATAATAGACCAAGGACTGTGAGTTATTATTTATTATTAACTTAGTTTTTTATAAAATGTTCTAAATCTAATAATAGACTGAACTGAAACTGCAGTTTTTTTTACTGCTGTTTGACACGAGTATGAGATATCTCACGTCTACTTTTTCTGTTTTTCTTTATCACAGTCCTCAGTCTAGAAGGATTGCTGTGGTAAATATAAACTCGTTACATTTCGTTAATTTATCCCAATGTTCTCATCATTGCTTCTGCATTTAGAAGAAGCAAAATAGCAAACAAGAAAAAACAAACATAAAGAACTAAAGTAATAATTGACTAGAAGATACTTATTAAAATAAAACATAATAAAAACTTAGTGCCGCTTAAATAGATGTGATATTAGAATAAAAATAGTAAGAATAAGTAAAAAAGCGAAATTAATGGAACAATGAAATGAAAATGCATGCAAAGTGTATGAATGCAGCTGCAATGGCGTCATGTTAAAGCCTGTCTGCTTTTAGTCAAATTGTTAATGACACAAAAACTGTGTTACGATGTTAGTGTTAATTAATCCCAAGCCACAACAAAACTTTTTATTTAGCTTATGCTGCTATCATTTTAATGTAAACATCACGGGTCGTAAGTTACTTTAGACGGAAAATATTAGAATATCACACTCGTTTTTATTTGAATCGGTAAAGTGACGTTTAAGCTATGGTACTTTAACTTTCTAATTCAGATATACAATTTGCATATTATCTGAATTCTGGTGCTCAATACTTGGTACAAACTCAAATTGTAGTTTTGAACAGTTGAATTTCAGTATTTAGACGAATCTTAGCATGAATTCATTATAAAAATGTCAGTTTACCGAACCAATTGATAATGGGTATAGACTTTTGATATTCACATTCAGTCTAACCCTGTTGTGACCCCATTTACGACTCTCCATTTAAGAAAACTTTTACAAACAAAAATGTTAGCAGCACAGCTGAGTTCCTCCGAACCTGGATTCATGGCATAATAGAACTGCCCCCACTCGTCCATCCAGACTTCGGCGACGCGGGCGGCATTATGCAACACGACGTTTTGTACGCCGCCGGGGAAGGAATACGGGGACTTGTCCCGGAACACGTGGCCCACGTGCGAGCACGGGACGATCTCCAGCCGCCCGCCGCACTGCCACACCTTTGGTTTGGCCATAGCAAGGTTAGTGGGACGTCATCATCATCAGAAAAATCATCATCATCAACAGCCCTTTATCAACAGCCCTTTACAGTCCACTGCTGGACTATGAGCCTCCTCCACTATAGTGGAGGGTTTTGCCATAATCTCCACGCTAGGCAGGCGGGTTGGAGATCGCAGTTTAAAAGATTGGTGTTTTTCAGAGAGCGCTGCTGCCCATTCTCTATTTGATGTGTAGTCCCTAAGTCGCCTCTTACGACACCCGCGGGAAGAGTAGGGGTTGGTTTTTACCAATTAATCATCACCTGGATTTAGAATCTATTGATGGACATAGGCCTCATACGGATATAGGACTCGATGGATATAGGATATTATAAGATATAGGTCTCGATGGATATAGGGACATAGGCTCGTATGGATGTCCCATTCCCGATAATATTATTAGCATTCTTTAATATTTCCACTCATTGGGAATCAGGAATTTCCTCGGATCTTTTCTAGAAAGGCCACGCCCTATTAGAGAGGACTTTTTCGTAACTTTTTTCCTGATGTCCGCCAGTGGGGAACAAGGGGAAAACACCAGGTAGATAGTGTATCACTTTGTGTAATTTAAGCAGTTTTTTTATAATAGACTTGAATCAAAGGGCGAAAAGAAATCATTACATACATTGGAGAGCACATTTCGCCGTTTCAATTGAGCCTTACCATAACGGCGGCTATAGTCTTTCACCAGGCTTAGAACCTTACAACTCGCATTGCAGGAGAACATAAGACAATCAAAATAGAACTCAAACACAAAGGCACAAGACACATTACCCGGAAGCTCATCTCGAGGTTCTCGCCGCCCCAGATGTCCATGCCCTCGTCGTAAGATCCGATCTTGTAGAAGTAGTCGCGATCTATCGCGAATAATCCGCCGGCCATTGTGGGTGTCCGTAGCGGCGCCGTGCGGTCGCCACCGCGACGGCCCATCTCTCTTTCTGGCACACGGTACCTAAAAAGACATTACAATAAAGTTACAGTTAGGCCGGGTTCCCACTATGCCGGACCGGCATTTCTGCCGGAAACCGGACACCGGACAAGGGTGTTCACATTACACCGGATCACCGGATCCGAAATCCGAGCCGAATGAAGTGCGGGGAGCACGGGCGGGGCGGGGTGGGAAGCACGGGCGCGGCGGGGTGGGCCGCAACTCGTTCACATTACTCCGGTCCGGTGATTTTGCCGGATTTTTGTAGCGACAAAACGCTCGGTAAAAATGCCGGACTCGGCGAAAATGCCGGATCCGGGATAATGTGAACAGCTTCATACAATTTGTACCGCCGCTAGGTCTTCCGGCGATTTTGCCGGTCCGGCATAGTGGGAACCCGGCCTTAGAGGTAAGATAGCCAGTTCCTCCGTGGTTGAGGATTCCGGGTGAAGCTCGCTTCCACCTTCGGCCTGATCGTCACTTACCATCAGGTGAGATACAGGCCAAGAGCTTCCTCGTTGTGGATAATAAAAAAAAAGTTTATCTGTTGCAATATCATCATAAAAATTCTCTTTCTAGAATGCGGCGTCTAAACAGACCAAGTACATAACAGGGTTTCAACTTTGCCGAATTTTTCAATAGACTTTGATCTTAATGTCTCTATTATAATTCAATTAAGAATTCAGTTTGGAAAGTTGAGATGCGGGCACCTAAAGTATACTTTATTTATGTTTCCATTTGTCTCGAGTCAAATATTGTTCATGGACAAGAATCCGACTGCAATAAGAAATTATACGATAGCAAAAGATAATTACGTTACGTACGTTTTTAATGAGACAATAGATGATAATTAGGCATATTAACACCAATCAACTGACATGCTTTATAAGTTGTCGTGGAGTTTCTCTGAAGAATTCGTATATTGAGTGGTTTATGATGTCACTATTATAACATTTGAAGTCAAGTCAAAAACTATATTGATTTTTTAACACCATAATATTACAGAATATTTTACAATAAATTCGATGTAATCAAAGGTTAACGCTAGAATGGAGGTGAATGGATTCACAATCTCCCACAGCTTAAGCACCACGACGACAAAAGAAATTAATTAGCTTTGAAAGTACGGTAAAACATCGATTGGACATGCATTACTTTAAACAAGCCAAGGTACTAGTTCCGATAACTTAAAATGGCACGAGTTTTATAACTTCATAATTTCACGTCACTAAATTGATTAAAAAGGCTGCGTGTAAAAAATATTTATTTATTTACTTGTCACATGTTGGCATGTATGCAGCTTTATATTTATAAATAAATTATATATAAAATATAAAATTCCTTATTTCAAAACACTTGTTTTATTAATAAACTGGAAAATTCCAACCTAGTATTTCATAACTCATGTTACAAAATAAAAACAAACATTAATGTAGCAAGTTTCAGCTTTCTAGGTGCTGTAGTTTGGGTTAAGCGTCGTTAAAAACGATTTATTGTCTTTTTTAGATTGTTTTTCATTTATTAACCAACTAGTTTTTGCCCGCGGCTTCACCCGCGTGAAATTTAGTTTGTCACAGATCGTCAAATTTTATAGCCTATATGTTATTCTGGGTTATAAACAATAACACTGTAAAGTTTCATCTAAATCCGTTCTGTAGTTTTTGCGTGAAAGAGTAATAAACATCTAGACATCCAAACTTTCGCATTTATAATATTAGTAAGTAAGATGGAATTACACTTTTGTCTTTTATAAATAAATTATTTCTATTGGGAAAGGAAAACACATTGAAAATAATGTTACGAATCCCCATCTCACAGGATAAATGATTAAGGTTCTCATATTCGTTATTCTCTCAAATCTAGCTCTTATCAACAAAAATACGAATCCATTACGTTTGTTATCAAAGCGTTCGCGTATACAACGCGTTAATTACCAAGTTACGGTGCGAGCGAACACAATGGGACGCGGTTGGCAGTTGGTACGCTAGCAAACCAAGTTTACATTAGACTATGCCAATTTAACTCTGTCAATCAACATTGACGCCCGTTTCCTAATTTAAAGATAAATAATTTCATTTAAAAAATAAAGTCAGTTAAAATGTAGTCTATGTTATCCCAGCCACAATTAAGAATCGAATCCATAGACTCCTTATTTATCAAAATCGGAAGAATACTTTTAGATTCGCCGTAGTCAAGTAAAAATGAAATGTAATTTTAATATTGCAGAATTTTATAAAGGAGTTAAAATAAAATAATTTCTTGCGTTGCTTCTTCTCAACGAAATTATTTTTCAGAAACAGTGGTAAGATCTAGCTAAGATCACGTCGTAACAAGCCTAAGCCTTTACTGCTATAATTAATTTGTAAATTAAATAAAATTAAAAAGCGAAATATTGATACCAGATTTATCGTAAAGCACTTACGATAAAAATATATCATTTTTTTATCTCATATTATCAAATATCTGTGGGAGTTGCCAATGCTTTTTAGGAATAGTACACATTAATACTAAGATGTCTCTAATTAAGTTACCTGTAAAACATTTACCGTGTTGGAAACTTCGAAAAAATTAAAATACCTTGTAAAAAGATAATCGGTCTCCGAGCTCTACAAATCAATTCGTCTTGTCATAAAGTTAATAAATCATTTTAATCTTAACCTAAAATGAATATGTTCCTCATAATTTACATAATAAAGGATAATAAACTTTTGTCTTACCATCTAAAGTTCAATTTCCAGTTGAACCCGCCCCAGGTCATGTCCGAAGCCTGAATGTACTCGAAGGTGGTATCCGATATGACGTCGATGATCGGACACACGACCGTGCTTCTGTCCTCCACGATACGGGCAAGAAGCGGTTCGAGCCAGCCCTCTGAAAATTGTACACAAATACAAATAACATGTTTAATAATAAAAAGCATCAACTCAAAAAAAAATTTCGATATTGTATCTTATGTCGTGTTATAAAAAGAAGTAAAAAAAAATAGTTTTTTTGAGTTATAGTTCTTGCAACTCACGAAGGCAAGTGAGCTTTACTTGTTTGTGTACGTGTACATGCACATAACGATAGTGTAATGTCTATCAAAACTTTTGAAAAACGAACAGTAGCGAGCCACCACACATGTAAAGCTCACTCGCCTTCGTGAATTGCAACAACTATAATAATTTTTGTTTAAAACTTTTTATGAAAAGTGTGAAATCCTAAATTCACAAACAGACTTAAGACGTAGTTAGGGTCACTAACCACAAGAATAAACATTTAAGATATTCATAATCAATATTTCAATAAAATTGACATTATCTTTACAATACAAAGTATTGACATTATCTTTACAATACAAAGTATTGACATTAATTAGCAATAAAAGACAGTTTAATTCATAAACAAATTAAATTCGAAATGTTTGTTATACGAATCCCTGATAAATGTAAATCATTCGTATTTGAATAATATCTGTTCATTTATTGATTACCGAGTGCAAAAACAAATGAACTAAAAGAAAAAATGTGTAGTAATTACTATATCCCATCAAAAACAATACTTGTCAAAAAAACCAAGTCTCGCAACTCAGTTGTTCTACGGTAAAAAGTTGTGAGATCCATGTAATACCAAGTCCAGGCCAGGAAATCTTTAACGTTTTACATAAATATATTGACTTGGCCATCGCACTAAATAATTTAATTTACACGTGTTNCTTTAAAAATTTACAAATAATGCATATATAGCCAGTAGTACAAATTAAGGTAATTATTAGCTAGTAAGAAATATTTAGAAACGATTACTAAGAAAAGCTTAATCTAAAACAGCGTTATTTTACCGAAAATTTAAGATGAAATCGCCATATTTTTATAAGAGAGCACGAAATCACCCACCACCTTCGAAAAACGCGTGCCAATTGGTGCTGGGATCGTGGATCGGGACGCTCTTGCACTCTACCGGGTTGTAGGGCATATGAGTACGTGTCCTTGAAGTATTATCCCGGTTGGATTTATTTATCTGTGTTTTCTGATGTATAGGCCTTATTAGAACGTAGGCCTTATTTGTATCAAGTACCTTATATCGTGCGGAATTTTAACACCTTTGGTTTAAAAAATAACATCAGAATGAATCGCAGTTAATTTATGAAGGTACCTATTGACTTTACTAATTAATAATTCATCATTTAATTTAAAGTAAAACCAGTTTGAGCGAAAAAATGAGTTGGTTAAGCCTTTTTGCTCTGAATTATTTAAGGCTGAGTTGCACCAACTTACTTTGACAGTAACTATAACGATAACCGGTATGTTTTGTATGGAGTTTGACAGATTCCTGAAGTTTGTTTTAAAGTAAGATGGTGCAACCCACCTAAGTAAAAACTCCAACAACATTATCGCAGTCGCATTTTATCTCGTTATTCGAATCATAAGCTATATTGGAAATAAATCGGAATTTGAGATATTTTCGTGTACGGAATTGAGGAAAGGGGGAAATATGTCGAGTGGTATCATCTGTAATCGAATCTCTAACTCGTAGACGCGAGATACGTCATAACCTATACATCACTTGCGGCTATTTATTAGATTTCTTCTGTGTTTAGTCTACAAGTAAATGTAGTCTATAAGTAGTTTTAATTCTGCTATTTTCCTCTGGTAATCTAGGGGTCGTACTTTTGCAGTGGAGGCTAAATGTCCCGATGATGAATAAAATACAAACTCTAAAATAGCATTATTTTTTAGATGACTTTCATGTATTATAACAAAATGCGGAAAAACTTCTTCCGCATTTAAAATAAACTTATTTTGTTTATGAATCGTATCAAACTGGGTATCGCAAATCTATTCATACTTTGTTATCGCATTACGTTTTAGTTCCGCTCTCGTCTCCAAACAAGACACCTGCGGACAACGGTATTTAAAAAAAACCGGCCAAGTGCGAGTCGGGCTCGCGCACAAAGGGTTCCGTAGCAGCAAATATAATAAACTTGTCGGCGCCGGACACAGATGCTGCAAATTATTATTGATGATTAATAGTACCAATCTTAATATTATGTTATCTGTAGAAATCTGTAGAGCAGAAGGTTTGTGATTCCTAAACGTAACACCCGGCTGATGCGCAGAAAAAGATAACTGTCACTGAGTTGTGTCATGTCAAGTGTGAGCAGGCGGCTCAAAAGGCGGCTGCGAGGTTATCTTTGAAAAGCGTGTTGAGTTTGGTGGAACGTTAAATCGTAGGAAAAGTGGTTGTCAACCATCCAAGATATTATCTCCTTGCCCGTTAACCCACGCCTATGGAGATTCCACCCCTAGAGTTCCTTCTGATAGAGACCCAGTGCCTTTATCAGAAGTGGGATCTGAAACCTATGATAGTAACGTGATTTCAAAGTGTTCCAGGTGACCAATGTTTCGTGTTATTTGTCACGAATGTTATCACAAAACGCCCACGATTCTATGGTTATAATTGAATATGATGAAGAGAGAATGTCAAGGAAACCACGCTGACAAAGGTGTGAGATGCAGAAAAGTATTTAAGTACGAGAAATGATGGACGCAAATTATGAAGATACTCCCTCCGTAACTTGGCTTGTGGTCACGTAAGTGGTGAACAATTTGACTAACGATGGCCCCAGAGCAGGTACGATTCATTATTGCTATCGAATATTCTAACAGCAACAATATTAACACATTTCCTTTTGAGCAAAATAATGCATGGAAGTGAATGATGCANTTTATTCACATTAGTCATGCCATAAAAGTAAGCAATGTTTAAGGTATAGCATGCCTGTTTGTATGTAATTACATATTTACGACACGCTATGACGTTAACGGTAAGTCACGCAAAGTTATAAAGAATTTAAACTTTTTAGTAGTAGTCCTACGATGTAGTCGTCATAGTAGGCAATAACGTAAACACTGTTTGCTTGACGTACGAGTACTTGGACATGCAATATAGTACCAAACATTCAAATACAATAGGAAGTTTTTTTGCTATCTAATTATTGTTTACAACGCACGAGTAACGTCAATCGTTGAACTTTAAAATCACTAGAAAGGGTTACCAACACTACGATGTTCTGCAATAATATTAGGGGATGGAGCCCTAATAAATTAATAAAATTAGGTGTTGTCATTCAGGAGAAAATATTGTATTTGTCCATCCTATACAAGTGGGAACCGGTTTCCCGGTATTTGATTCGTTCGTGGTTAATGGTCTCTGTTTTTCCATAATATCTACATTTTACGTACGTCACTTTGTTACTTGGTGCTTTCAAAATGAACTAACCGATTCGTTATACATTTCAAATGAAATAAAATTAACAAGAATTTCACACAAAACTTGTTACCGTCTTATTGAACTAGATTAAAGTGTTATATAAAAAGTAACAGAGAATGGGCAGCAGCGCTCTCTGAAAAACATCAATCTTTTAAACTGCGATCTCCAACCCGCCTGCCTAGCGTGGAGATTATGGCAAAACCCTCCACTATAATGGAGGAGGCTCATAGTCCAGCAGTGGACTGTAAAGGGCTGTTGATGATGATGATGATGAAAAAAAGTAAGGCAATATTGGCTTTGTTTCGGTGGTTAATAGTCGTGCAATACATTATTTAACGTCAATCGTCAGTTTCCTTTCGAAGTTCATTGACTAATTAAAACAAGTTTTTAATCGTGTTAACCAAACACGATTAAAAACTTGTTTTACATCATTAATTTGTTCAATGTTTTTTAAATTAGCTAGCAACCCTTACATTATCAGGCAAGACCCCATATCATGTGACGTATACAAAAACAGCACATTCAATTAAGTTTTAAAGTTGATATTTAGTAACTTAAATGCAAAATACCTAAATAAAGAATTGTTAAGTATTCTGAAACATTTAAAACTTGCGTGAATTTTTATCACACTATTATTGACATACTAACGGGACTATTCCCACCTCTCGTTCCCACCGTTGCAACTCCTAAATAAACAGGATCTACAGCTTGACGCAACCAGTGAAGGTCAAGTTTCTCCCGAAGGAAAATTGAACTGTCAACGAAATTACTTAGAAGAACATAGGGTAGAGACCCCGGTTGTAGCCAACCGCCGGCTCAAAAATACTGTACACATATTTAAAAAAAAATAGTAACAATTTTGAGTCACGAAAATCGGTGCAATGATGACCAAAACCGGTACTTCTACCCTAGGAAGAGTTCAAACTATTCCGACTATACCTGTACATTCACAATGCGCATCGAGGAACGTGATGACATCTCCTTTCACGTGTTTAGCGCCCAGTAGTCGCGCCCGGATAAGCCCGGACCGGTTCTCCGTACGGAATAACCGGGTCGGCACCGGCAGTGTTTTTATGTAGTCCTCCAACTTCTTGCCCAGGTGTTCTGCAAAAAAGACTAGGTTTAGGGAACAACAAAGCAATTGGTTCAATCAGATGTCGTCCTCTACTGGACAAGATTTGAATAAAGATCGCTCGAATTCAGGTGCTTCCTGCTACCTTTACTAGATCGTAGAGCAAGGCAATATCTTCAAAATAAATAGGAATTTAATCTAATCTAATCATGCCATTTAGTATACGCTAATTTAACTTTGACTAGAGAGTCAAATCGAAAATAGCTTTGTGGCCAAGTGAAAGTAATGAACCGATATCAAATAGAAATAGTCGATGTCACATTTTGACCTTTTCAAGTGACATTGACGAGGTCATGAACCCAAACACATGGGTTTTTGGCGATAAAAAAGAAAAAAAGTATTAATAAAGTAATAAATCTAATTCTCGAAGGGTTAAAAGTAATTTAAAAGACAGTTGTACAATTTACAATATTAATTAAAAACCAAACATAAAATAATTATATTATCGATCGCAGCCGGTAAAGTGATTCAATTTTAAACAATTTTCTTTACATATTTAATGAATAAACATGTCTATTTTTAGTCTTAATAATTGTGTTATTGTTATTGTAAAATGTTGCATTTATCATTTACACAGTAGGTGCAAAACAAATACTTATTTACACTGAATATTATTGATTATGAAAACTACTTTCCAAATATTTACGACTGGAAGTTTCGAATAGTACACAGGTTAATTCTTAGCAATTTTGTAGTTTTCAATTGGTACAATTTGCATTCAGCTAGTCAAGACAGTAATCTACGCCTCGACCTTATGACATATGACTAATTCTGCTATCACAGTGAGTGCGTGCACTTAAGGCCATAAGATACGGCATGAGAATAACCCAGTGAGTTCAATCTACCGATTTCAAGTTATTGAAACGCGTAATGTTTAAACGACCCGCACAAATCGGTTTACAGTTAGTTTTCCAGCTTCTAATAAAACTGCGCACGTGCGTAGTGTAAGTAGATTAACATTGTTAACACTTTTGTATATGAATTGCAACGTAACAACCATTTTGTATGTTTATTTTTAGAACTTGTAACTAGTAGGTAGCTCTCAATGATGGATGTGTTGACATCCGACATTCTAAATGTGTTCCAGTCTAATCGCAGTAGAGAACCATTGTGTATTTATACAAATGCTATACACTTTATATTTGTCGGCGCCGGACACAGATGCTGCAAATGATTATTGATGATTAATAGTACCAATCTTAATATTATGTTATCTGTATAAATCTGTAGAGCGGAAGGTTTGTGATTCCTAAACGTAACACCCGACTGATGCGCAGAAAAAGATAACTGTCATTCAGTTGTGTCATGTCAAGTGTGAGCAGGCGGCTGCGAGGTTATCTAGGAGAGCGTGTTGAGTTTGGTGGAACGTTAAATTGTAGGAAAAGTGATTGTCGACCATCCAAGATATTATCTCCTTGCCCGTTAATCCACGCCTATGGAGATTCCACCCCTAGAGTTCCTTCTGATAGAGACCCAGTGCCTTTATCAGAAGTGGGATCTGAAACCTATGATAGTAACGTGATTTCAAAGTGTTCCAGGTGACCAATGTTTCGTGTTATTTGTCACGAATGTTATCACAAAACGCCCACGATTCTATGGTTATAATTGAATATGATGAAGAGAGAATGTCAAGGAAACCACGCTGACAAAGGTGTGAGATGCAGAAAAGTATTTAAGTACGAGAAATGATAGACGCAAATTATGAAGATACTCCCTCCGTAACTTGGCTTGTGGTCACGTAAGTGGTGAACAATTTGACTAACGATGGCCCCAGAGCAGGTACGATTCATTATTGCTATCGAATATTCTAACAGCAACAATATTAACACATTTCCTTTTGAGCAAAATAATGCATGGAAGTGAATGATGCAACAAATGTTATAAGTATTGTCAGTCTTTACTGATAATGCCAGGAATGTGTGTGAAAGCTATGGTATGTGCTCACTTTAATTTCAATGCCAAATAAGTTATTTTAGTAAAGCAAATTAAATTGAACGGTGTTCATTTGTTCATGTTTGCATTCTGCGAAGAATAACCTGTTGAGATTTAAAATCAATAAAGAATAGATAGAATATGGTCAGATAAATTGAATAAGTTTGGTGATCATGCCCGAGTAACCTCTTGGCATTATTTTGGAGAAAAATTAATAATTAGTTTTATCCAAGTAAATTGAAGTTAAGATCTGTGTTGTGTAAATCAGTTTTAGTATCATGATGTTTCTTTCATGATATTGAGTACTACAAGATGAGATAGCATCGAATATTGTGCTTAATTATTGAGTAATTGAAATTAAGTAAAGCAGCCAGTTATGCAGTTGAGAACGTGGTATATTTTTGGTATTCTTATAATGATTGATACTTCAATTAATTATTATTGTTAAACATAATTATTGTGTACTCATGGTTACTGTAAGACACATTATATTACACCATAATGCTATATTTGAGTAACAATAATGTTAATAAGATAAGTTATTGAGTTTCTCCAACTTATCAATTAATTTCTACTGCCAGCAGTCATTTAGATTGTATTACTAACATTGAAAATAAGTGTGGGTGACCAAAATTTATCCAATTATGATATTACATAAAAGATTTAGAACGTGGTACATTAAAGGTTTTCTTGTGTACCAGCCATTATTGTTAATAATTCTCACATGGTGAAATTATTTTAATCTTGAGGTTATTTATTAGCTGTTTAATAAAAAGGTTACTGGTTGTAGCATGTTGTGTGTGCATATTTTTAGATTTGACTTGAGTTTTAGATGTGGTGACTTATCTGTCAGCGGGTTGGCCCTGTGGTGAGCAAATCAGTCAAGCACAATACCAGAGTAAAGCTGAACACTGAGCAAGGGTACTCCACATAAGTGATTTGGAGTTGGACAGAAGGTAATGCAATACAACGGGCATCAGCTGTGATATTTGGTGAGTGAAAATGCAATACAAAAGGAATCAGCTGTGATACTTGGTGAGTTGAATTATGTTTTATTGCAAGGGTTGAGCTGAGACTAGCAATGCCACTGCGGCTTGGTTGTTTAACTGTGCTTATTCTTGTCATTGGCATGAAATTGCATACAATTAACTTGAGTGTGAACAGATTTTAATAATTCATTGGCTACAGTCTACTGCTAGACTTTAGAACTTCCCAACTGCCGCTAGCAGCCTTAAGCAAAAAGTTATTTAAAGTACTTGGGTATTTCTTGTGAATGCTTTGAGGATGGTAACTTCATTGAAGTATTTGCAATTGTGCTGTTATCTAAGATAATAACAAGAAGTTTATTTTGATAAAGTTGCATTTGTGTGTGGAGCAACTTGGTGTTCACCCAAACACAATGTTAAGCATCAATATGTTTCACTTGCATTGTTTTGTTGTCAGTGATGATATAAGTAGTTGTGTTATTCATCTTAATATTTTGATAATGTGGTTATGGGAATGGTTTGAAAATAATAATAATAATGTATATGATGTACTTGTTGATCATACACCAGTGGACATTGTCATGAAGCTGGGCGGACATTGTCATTCTGCGTGAGATCTCCTGATATCTGTGTGAGGAGAACATGTGGCATGACATGACAAGCTATGTGGAATGGCCTAATCTGTGTGGGTTTAAAGTGAAAATGTTCAAAGAACCCTAACTAATCCCATAAATCATTTAGGATGATGACATTAGATGTACTGTATGATGGTGTATAGATGTACTGTATGATGATTTCTTGTGTCAGCAGAGCCGAAAGTAGTCAGCGTGCAAAGGTGCGTGGAGTGCAGCGCGCCTAGCGGCGCCAGCTGCCGGTGCCCGCGCGTGGGCGGCGGTGGCGGCTCAAGCGCGGTGGGCCGCAGCAGCGCGGTCAGCGCGCGCGCTTCGGGCAGCGGCAGCGCGGTCAGCGCGCACTTCGGGCAGCAGCGCGCACATCGCGGGCGCTTCGGGCAGCAGCGCGCACAGCGCGGCCAGCGCCAGCAGCGGCAACGGCTCGCGCTCGGCGCGCAGCAGGTCGCGCGCCAGCGAGTGCGCGGGNTTTTTTTTGTGTGATGATTTATAAATATAAAACTTTTGAACTGTTTCAAAGCACACTTTTTTTTTCAAAATGTACATTTTTTTTGAGAAATACTCATCTACAATAAGTGAGAAAACTATAAACTTAACAACATTTTTGCAGAGTGACTGTAAATCTAGACAATATAAGGAGGATATTACTTTTACTCCAATATCTTTCCTGAGTAATTATACAGAAGTTGTCTGGAAGATATCGCTTTATAGCGATAAGACCGCCTATTGTACTGGTCTGTCCCTGTGTATTTGTTTTATTTTTGTTCTTGTTCTGTGTGTAGTGTAAAATAAAGTGTTATTTTTATTTTTTAATAATATAGGTTTTAGATGAATACCGGTGGTCTAGCTAGTCTCTTGTTGAAAATAATATGTCGGCGCCGGACACAGATGCTGCAAATTATTATTGATGATTAATAGTACCAATCTGAATATTATGTTATCTGTAGAAATCTGTAGAGCAGAAGGTTTGTGATTCCTAAACGTAACACCTGACTAATGCGCAGAAAAAGATAACTGTCAATCAATTGTGTCATGTCAAGTGTGAGCAGGCGGCTGCGAGGTTATCTTTGAAAGCGTGTTGAGTTTGGTGGAACGTTAAATTGTAGGAAAAGTGATTGTCGACCATCCAAGATATTATCTCCTTGCCCGTTAACCCACGCCTATGGAGATTCCACCCCTAGAGTTCCTTCTGATAGAGACCCAGTGCCTTTATCAGAAGTGGGATTCGAAGGGCACTATTCAAAGGAGATAAATCTTTCAGCATGCACACCTACGCTACGCTACTCATCAAGTTTTACATGGAGGATGCTGGCTCAGACATTGAGAGTTGGTGCAGGTTGACGGAAATTATTGTGATTGACGTAAACTGGAAGGGCCTTTGTGAGTGAGTAAGTTGAGGGAGCCGGGCCAAGGGCGCCCGGGCCACCCTGTTGCCGTGGTTGAAGGGGCTGTTTACGCCCGGGCTACGCTG